GGGGGGAGAGTGGAGTGGAGCGGAGCAGTTGCTGGGGTTGGAGCTGGGCAGGAGGCAGAGTGAAGTTGCAGCTGGAGCTGGACTGGGGGTGAAGTGGGGTGGAATGGTACAGGTAGGGCTGCGCTGGGGGCAGAGTGGAGCTGTGGCTGGGATCAAAGCTAGTAGGGGATACAACAGGGTGGGGTGACACACTCTCTCCATCACCTGTGCAGAGTCTCACCTCCTCCAAATGTCTCCTCCCCCCCCCCCGCAGAGAAGGCATGCCTGAGTTTGGGGACTGCTGTTCCAAGCACAACTGTGAAAACTTCTGGTATTAAATAGTAAATGCATGTGTCAAAGGACTCAGAATAACTCCTCAGCCAAAAACCCAAACATAAAACACTCAGACAGACAATTGTCCTGTTCTGAAGTCAACCTCTCAGGACAGAGCATGGAGCTGTCAGGACAGAGCATGGAGATCACAGAATCCTAGAGCTGGAAGAGACCTCAAGAGGTCATTGAGTTCAACCCTGTGCCCAAAGCAGGACCAATCCCAGATAAACTATCCAATGCAGGACTTAAAAACATGTAGGGATGGAGATTCCACTACCTCCCTTGGTAATCCTTTCCAGTGCCACCCTTCTAGTAAAACAGCTTTTCCTAATATCCAGCTGAGACCTCCCCAACTGCAACTTGAGAGTATTGTTCCTCATTCTGTCATTTGTCACCACTGAGAACAGCCGCTCTCCATCCTCTTTGGAACCCCCCTTCAGGTAGTTGAAGGCTGCTATCAAATCCTCCCTCACTCTTCTCTTCACTAGACTAAATAAGCCTAAATCCTTCAGTCTCTCCTTGTAAGTCAAGTATTCCAGACCCCTAAGTCCTTTTGGTTGCTCTCCGCTGGACTTACTCCAATACGTCCACATCCTTTCTGTAATGGGTGGCCCAGAATTGGACACAATATTCCAGATGTGGCCTCACCAGTCCCAAATAAAATAGAATAATCACTTCTCTAGATCTGCTGGCAATGCTCCTCCTAATGCAACCTATTATGCCATTAGCCTTCTTGGCTACAAGGGCACACTGTTGACTCATATCCAGCTTCTCATCCACTGTAATTCCCAGGTCTTAACCAGGACAAAAGCCATATAGGCTACTACAGTTCCCCACTGCCATGCCAGTACATTGTAAATCTCCCTCCTATCCATCTGAGCGTGCATTCAATGATAATCAGATTTTATTGCTGTTTTTAACTTTGAACAGTGACAATTTATGTCATTTGGACTTTTACAGATCTGGTAGCAAATAAGGTACTTTAATTTGTACTAAATGAACTGCAATGTCAATTACCTGAATCCAAAAAAACTGGTTAAAAATCAGTGGGAAAATTATTACACTCATTTTGTGAGAAATTTACCTTCATTAGGCATAAGAAAGAATGCAAGTAAAGATGACTTAAAATAAACTTCCAATACACAGTTCAGTTAATGAGAAAATCCTTCATCCCATATTCCTAAATGGAGTTATTTTTTGAAAGAGCATGTCAAATATACAAATCTAATCCATACCTGGGGCATGCCTGGCTGGATCTGTAAAGTTGCAGGCTGAGATATCATTGGCTGTGCTAATGGTTGTCCAACAGATTGGGCGTTTAAGGACTAAGATTTAAAAGCATACCATAATTATTCAACAGAACTTGTCTCACACTAAATATTATTAAAGTATTTAAGTGTCAATTCCAATATGGCACAACAGTAAATTTTGTTAAAACCCACTTTCACAGAACTAAAAGCCAACAGAAATGTTTCTATATTTATCTTAATATTTCAAAGGGATAATAGTTTTTAAGCAAGTGAATGTTCCCTGCGATGTCTGAAATCAAAATATTGCAGCACTATGAACTTGCAGATACAAGTGATGACATGGAGTATCTTTGTTCAAGTTATAGGTCAGAAATAAACAGAGAATATAAATAATAAAAGGAAACTGAAAATTTAAAATTTCAATAACTGCAAGGTAGTGTTAGTAATATTAGTAAAGATACTTATTTGTTTTCAAACATTTTAAAGTTGACAACATTATTTTATCCCTCTACTCAAACCATCTCAAACCAATAACAAACCTGCCTCAAACCCAGTCAACTAATAGCTCATAGCAGAGGGTACATAGTGGATTTTTTAATATAATCAGGGTTTCAGGAACTATTGCATAACTTTGTTATTGGAATGGATATACCTATTATAGGAAAAATTGAATGAGAATGAAAGCACAGATTTATGCCTCAAACTAGGGATAATAAATATCCGTTAACTGAATGGCCGATTAATATCATGAATTCTTATAGATTACTCGAGTATTCTATAGTCCCTGGGGGTGGGACCAGCAGCCAGTACGGGGCTCTGGCCCCACTCATGAAGAGTCTCCTGCCACTCGATGCTGCTGCCTCTGTATCAGAGACAGCAGTGTGGGGTGCCAGACAGGAGCTGGTCGGTGAGGGAAGCCAGTTTAAAAAACAGCTCCCCTCATGGACCGGCTGGCTGCCTGTCGCACCACGCCTCTGTATCAGAGGCAGCAGTATGAGATGGCTGCAGCCCCTGTCTAGGGTGGAGGGGTGTGATGTAGTGGGCAGGCAGTACACTCTTTTGGGGCAGGCATTCACTGGTTGCTGTGCTTGGGCTGTGGGTGTCCCCTACTGGCCTGTGTCTGTAAGCACTGCCCAGCAGGGGGGACCGCCTGAGGTCACAGACAAAGACCCAACCGGTCCTACCTGTTGAGAGCAGAGAGTGAGCAAAGGAGGTGAGTGTTCGGGAGAAGGGTCAGTTTCGGCTGGAGGAAACCATGAAGGGGACAGACTAAGCAGAGGGTTGGGAGTTTGGGGGCCTAGGCACCCCATCCCAAGGGGTCTGAGGCATCCTGGCCCTGACTCCTGTAGCCACATCACGTCTATCTCGTGTTGTTCCCTGGAGAAGCAATAAACCCTCTCTATTTTACTGGTTGACGGAGTCTGTTTTGGCAGGATTGGGGGGAACCCCGACACGCCATTACAGGGGGACAGGCCTGAGCTCCTGGACCTGGTGCGTGCCTGAACTGAATTGTGCTACCTGCCTACCTGCCTCCTAATACACTTTAAATGCAGAGCTGCAGCAGGGGTAGGTCCCAGAACTAGCATGAGCCAGGTCTGAGCTGGGATGCTGGCTAGCCTGCTAAAAAATGTATTGGTGAAGGGATGGGATGTGTGTAGCCTATTGCATTAACCTATAAGCTTTTGCTTATCAGTTAATTGGTTAATCGACTACACTATTACATCCCTACTGCAAAAACTTGAATACAGGTGTGCATATTGTAACACGGTGGCTTAGTCCTCTAAGGGCTAAAGGACTGGACTTGCTCAAGGAAGCACACTTGAGCAAGGATCAGCTGATTCACCTATAAAAAGCAGCAGGAAGTTGCAGAGAGAGTTCTCAGGGAGAGCAGAATGCAGTACAGAGGCTGCCAGGAAGCAGCAGGCTCCATCAAAGAAACCTGGAACTCAGGGAGGGAGACTACTGGTAAGCAAGGCCTGGGAAGTGACTGGACAATAGGGTAAACTTATGAACCTGAGGAAGGACTTAAGCACTTTATTTTGAATGTTTATTAATTTAATAAACCAAATCCCAAGGATGCATGTCAATACACAAAAATGTTTGAGTGTTACTCAAGAAACCCTTTCTTTGAAAGTGGAGACTGAGGTTGGGAACTAAATTTCAGGGTCATCTGAAGGTCCTGAGGGGGTCATGGCGGGTTGCTACCCAATGACACACATGCTTAACTATCAGAGGGGCAGCCGTGTTAGTCTGGATCTGCAAAACCGACAAGGAGTCCTGTGGCACCTTAGAGACTAACTGATGTGTTGGAGCATAAGCTCTAAGTCTGGTCTTGAAGTTTTTTTGCTGCAGGATGGTATATCGCAATATACCAATATAATATACGCCATCATGTGCCAGCAATGTCCCTCTGCTATATACATCGGCCAAACTGGACAGTCCCTACGCAAAAGAATAAATGGATACAAATCAGATATTAGGAATGGCAATATACAAAAACCTGTAGGAGAACACTTCAATCTTTCTGGACACACAGTAGCAGATTTAAAGGTAGCCATTCTGCAGCAAAAAAACTTCAAGACCGGACTTCAAAGAGAAACTGCTGAGCTACAGTTCATCTGCAAATTTGACATCATCAGTTTAGGATTAAACAAAGACTGTGAATGGCTAGCCAAGTACAAAAGCAGTTTCTCCTCTCTTGGTGTTCACACCTCCACATTAGCTGCTAGAATTGGGCATCACCCTCCCTGACTGAATTAACCTTGTTATCTCTAGCCTTATTCTAGTCTGCATATTTATACCTGCCTCTGGAAATTTCCACTACATGCATCTGACGAAGTGAGTCTTTGCCCATGAAAACTTATGCTCCAATACATCTGTTAGACTATAAGATGCCACAGGACTCTTTGTCGTTTATGCTTAACTATATGTAGGATCCCAACAAATTCAGATATATGAACAATACATCCTGGATCATGAAATGATACCTCCATAAAATCTGGCTACTGTTGGGAAGGAGAAGCTCCTACCAAGTGCTGGGCTCCAGATGCTAGTCCTAGCTGGGTTAAGGAAGGGTGGGATCCTCTTCCCTCGCAGGGGTTATTCTTGGTGATGGATCAGACCCACCTCAAGGAACCTCCCCAGCTGCAGGAAGATCCATGGCTGCTGGCTGGGAGCCCAGTTCTGAAGGCAGAAGTTGGCACATTCCCGGAGAGGAGTCTGACCTAGCCCCAGGAGCAGCCCCTGCAGGGGAAGAAGTCCCATTCCTTTCCAGCCCCACTAGGATTAGCAGCTGAAGTCAACAAATAGGAGACCCTGGTGGGGACACCCCTATCTAGCCCCTTCCCAACTTCAGGTGCAATTCTCAGGGTTAAAGGGGCCTTGGACAGTCACCTACCCATAGGGCTGGCTCTGCCTCCTCGAAAAGTGACAACTCCTCTATATCCTGTGACCCTCAATTCTGCACTGCTGCTGACTGCGGCATTAGCTTTAGAGCTGGGTGGCCAGTTGGCAACTGCTGCTCTCTGGCTGTCCAGCTGTGAAGGCAGTGCTCCTGTCAACAACAGCACCATGACCCTCTTTTGGGTCAGGACCCTCATGAAATTTGAGACGTAAACCTCCAAAAATGTGAATGTGACCTTTTAAAAGCATTATGACTATGGAATTGACCAAAATGGACCATGAACTTCACAGGGTCCTAAATGTGCATGTGAATAGTCACACTTTGAACAGGGAAAGTTAAAAAACATGCATAAGAATTTGTGTTTGTAACCTTAATCATGCAATCTTGGTAATCAAGTACCCAGACTGAAAATGTTTTCACTTCTAGTTCAAAATCTATGCTTAAAGGAAAAAATGCAATTTACTGTAGATTTAAACATTTTCATTTACAAGTTAAATAAATGGATTGTACACAGAGAGTCTCTCTCCTCCCCTTACCTGACTACTAAGCGATGACCTCCTTGGTGCAGTCTTTTCATGACCAGATAAGTTTTGTCTTGGAGGAGTGTTAGTGTCTATTGTCATTTTTGTCGGCGTTGCTGCTGATTAATGTAAAAGTGAAAACACATTTTGTTAATAATATTAATGACAAGCCTGTTCCTGTAACTGATTACATCAAGTCAAAGAGGTTTGCCTGAGTGAATACTTCAGGCAAAATTTTCAAAGTACATTTGTATCAATTGTATAGGCCTGGTAGTAAGAAATAAAATTTTGTTTTATTATCAGATGTTTCAAGGGGGTGTCTACTGGGCAACATTTAAACTCAGAACTACATGGAAAACTTGGTACCCTCAGGCTGCTGCGCTACTATTAGTTAAGGCACTAAGGGGGGTATATGTTGGAGGGCAGGAGGGGGGGGGGGGGGAGGGAGGATTTTCAATTCAGTGTTTCATTTAGAATTATTATTAATAAAATATTTTGAAAGTTTTAAAATGTATTATTTCAATAACACAGCAAAAAAGGACAGATCCAGTCTTTCATGATAAAGCAATTATGTTTTCAATGTTCAGCACTTACATGAAGGATCTGAGACTGCAGTATGCGATGATTTCCTTGAACTCCTGGAGGAAGCTGAAGGTGTACCGCTGTGATCAAATCTTTCCAAAGCTTCTTTGAGGCTGACCGTGTTTATATGATTATCAGACCCAGAGTCCTGACTCTGAAGGGGTACAAATAACAACGATTTTATTTGGTGATCAGTACATATATAACATATTTCAATTGGCAAACACAGGTTAGCAAATTAAACAAACATCTGGATCAATCAATCCTCTGACACACCAAATTGCAGAAAAGTTGTACCAGATAAAGAAAGGTGAGACAAAGCCATGAAAATTCAGAATACAAATATGCAGGCAAATGCTGCAACTCTGGGTCCTGCACCAATGCATCTGTGTTGCTACATCGACTTCCTTCCCCTTTCAGCAACATAACTCACTTTCTACTGCTGAATAAGCTATTCCACTTTTGGAGGAGCCAGAGGCCATTCAGGGATAGTTAGCTGCGCCACAAGCAGCAATTTCCACGAGGAAATTTGTCAGACTGCCATAGGAACACAACATGAGTGCCTGCCCCTGACTGATCTCTTTGAGGCTCAGTACTCTGAACACCTTCAGAGTCTCAACCCGAGGGCACTCATCCAGTAAGAATTCTGGTTGCTTCTGAGAAGCAGGTGAAGGCCATGTGATGGAGCTACTGCTGTCCCCTTCTGCTGATTTCCTATCTAACCCTCTCTTATCTGTTCCTTGTTTTTTCAGATGCAAGGGACTATATCAGCCTTTGTGTTTAAAACAAAGCAGTCCCAATACACTATTGTAATACATATAATAAACCTAAAAATAATAAAGAAGAACTCTAAGGTGAGTTACCTTGAAGTGAAGCAGTCACCTTCCTATATCTTCTTAGCTTAGGCATGAGATAATATTTTAAAGTTAAAAAGCATTATATTAGCTGTAGCAACAAAGAACAAAAACTTTCCTTCCTTCAGATTAAAAAATATAATAAAGTTATGAAGCTCACTTTATTTGCTGCTATCTCTGGAAGAGACTCTTCAATACCAAGTTCTCTTCGTCTTTCTGCTCGAACTTCTGCATAACTATAAAAGAACAAACCATATTTATTATATCTTGTTTAAATGTTTACAATAATGTCTTAAAGTGTAACTTCCTCTATCATGCTGTTATGCTCATGGAATAAAGGGGACAGATACTCAAGGAGGTTTCACAATGTCTTTGCAAATTAATACTAAATTTAAAACTAAATTTAAAACTAAGTGTTTAAAATCATCAGCAATACAGCTGTCAGTTAAGAGGACTTCTCTAAAATTAATAAAGACAATTGTTACCTTACTACAGTATGTGTACAGACAATAAACTCTGGCCTGGAATTCCACTGATGATAAGTAATATAGTAATGTGTTTGTAGCCAAATCCACTGCTGCCCCTTTGTCAGGAACCTGTAATAACATGACTTCCCTTTTCCATATTGCATTACTAGAAGATAAAAAAAAAAGAATAAGACTTCTTTGCTTTCACATTATGTGAATTCTGTGACACACTAGTAATTCAATTATTTATATTATTCACTAAATCTAAACTAAGAAATCTTCACCTGAATTTGATGGCCATTAGACAATAACTAAAAACAAGGTAAGAAAAAGAAACTTATTCCAGATACTAAACACAGTGGGAGGGAAGGTGTTGCAGTAATTTATTTTATAATGTTTTTCTGTTATAGAAGCCATGAATTTTGTAATTTCTTTATATTAAATGGCTGTGATATGAAATCACATCTCAGGTTCCTTTATATAAATGAAACAAACATTTTGCAACAGAAAACTGTGGTCTTAACACAGAAGAGTATCACTTGAGTATCACAGGATTTGCCCTCTCCACACAATTAAGTATAACAAGACTTTCACATAATTTACAGATGTTTAATTGAGTATGTTTTTTGCAGCAGTTTTGATATCTACTTACAGTGTTCATGACATTTTGCCAGATTTTCTAGGTCATCTACGTGATAGTAATCGTAGCCCGATGTCCCCAGAACTTCAAATGGTAAATAGCCTATTATTGGAGGTGCCCTAGTTAATACAGAAGTCAATGTTACTTTATTTTACATATAAAAATAAAATGCATCTCATTTTAGTTCATAATTATAATATGGTCTTGAAAATAAAATCCCAACTAAAATTATGAATAGTCAGTGCTGGTTAGTGTATTCTAAAGATTACAACCAGAATACTACTATGTACTACTTTTATAAAGAATAGCACCTGTGATCCAAGAATAGGAACTTCCATTCTAAACTATGTCTAGATGTGAATTCTTCATTGGGTTCTTCAACAGTGCACATTTCCTAAAACAAAAACAAAAAAAATCTCTCAAATCTGCTCTATTCTAATTTAAAAGCTCTTCTGAAATTCAGACTTATCCAAAGTAGGTAGATAAATCTTTAAGTTATTTCAGGCAGTTTTATTATTTATATGTATTTAAAGCATATTGAGTCGGAATCTGATCTCAGTTGCACTAGCTCAAAACTGGCATAACTCAATTGATTTCAATGAGTAATGCTGGTATGAGGTTAATATGAAACCCAATATTCATGACACTGGAACATGAATTGAAATTAGTGGCTTTTGGGGTTATTTTTCAAACTTCAGTGACCTTCAAAAAACTTCTTACATTGTCCTGCACATCGCTGACATTCATAGATGAAAGTAGAGTAGACCAGAAGTCTACATTGTTTGGGATCAAAAGTTTGTTTCTACTTTATTGGTAGAGTCCTATTACTGATAAATGCAGTACAGGCAGTCCCCGGGTTACATGGATCCGACTTACATCGGATCCCTACTTACAAACGGGGTGAGGCAACCCCGCACTAGCTGCTTCCCCCCAGCAGACCAGGGAGACGCGAAGCTAGCGCCCCCCCAGTAGACTAGGGAGACGCGGAGCGGCTTTTCTCAGCAGATACCTCAGCTTGAGAATAAAGGACTGAGGGTAGTGAGGTGTGGGAGAATAAAACTGAGCTCTGGAGAAATGTTTGGCTAGAGTTTCCCCTACAATATGTACCAGTTCCGACTTACATACAAATTCAACTTAAGAACAAACCTACAGTCCCTATATTGTACGTAACCCGGGGACTGCCTGTATACTATTTCTTGCTCTGATTTGTATATAATGCACATCTGTTCCGTCAACTAACCTGACATTTCTTATAATAAACTGCAGGAACTCTATGTGCAGACAAGTTAACCACTCGTTTTTCAGGTTCCATTGTAATTCTTTAGTAAAGTTGCTGCCAGAGGCCTCGAACCATAGATCATGTAAGATGGGTAGCTATTTTTGTTGGTTTTGGTTTGGGATCAGACAGAACTTGGTAAAGTCCCTATAATAAGCAAATAGCTACTCTGCACTTAAAAACTAGCTTTCATCATGCATTTATAGTTGTGCAAAATGTTCCATGTTTACACAAAAAAGTTTTTCCCTCTGTCAATTAACAAGGCTGTCAGTTGGCTAAGGACTAACAGTTGGCTAATGTCTAATAAAATACCTACAGGAGTTGGCCCACTGTCACACTGCAGCAAAAACATCAACATACAAAAATACCACTTTTTGTCAGAAAACTTAATTTTTGGATACTCAATTATACACCATGCAAAGGGAGTCAAAATATGACCTTTCACGCTATTTTGCTTAACAAAATGGCTGTACTTCTCTTTTAAAATATCTGATATACTGATTACTTTAATGTCAAATAAAATAAATACTAGAACAAGTCCCTCTGCAACTCTGCTTAGGGAAGGGAAAATCCTGGCAGACATACTGTACTAATCCAAAGTTAAATCATTTTAACTGTTAACTAATAATTCTGCAATAGTTCTGCAATACACTTAGTATTCATGGAAATTTCAAATGAAGTTGGTCAACACTTAACTCATATGTTGTGTTAAACGTGTAAGGCAAAAATATATTTCACAAAAAAGGTTAATGACAGCTTTCAGTAGCAATATGTAAAGCAGCATAGTCACTCACATTGAAAGTTTCATGATCTGAGCACACAAGATTTACCAATTGTAGTGAACATTTGTTTTCACTAGTGTGGAGGAAAATTCCAAACATACCTTGATAAACTGAGGTGTAGCTAACCTAACTGTAGTGACAAAGCAAATTCTGTCTTCATAGGAAGGCCGATGGGACCGCTGGATAGTTCCTTCATATCCGTTGTGTGCGGAGCTGGAGACTGAAGATGATGGGATGGGTAGAAGATGGAAAGGAGATCGAGTTAGGCTATGGTTAAGCTGGAGATCTTACAGCAGCACAGCTGCACTGATACAGCGGCGCCACTGTAACCTCTAATGCATTTCTACACTAAGCTGATGGGAGAGAGGTCTCTTGTAGATGTAATTAATCCATTCCCAATGAGAGGCAGTAGCTATGTTGGCAGGAGAAGCTCTCCCATATAGGGCTGACCATGCTGGCACTTTGGTCAGGGTAACTTATGCTGCTCAAGGAAGCGGCTAATATTCAAATTTAGTGTCAGAAGTTATACCGACCTAAGAGGTAGTGCAGATCTAACCTTAAGTTACAAAATGTGCAAGGAGGCACAAAGTTGTCAAAACCCTCAACATTGAGCTACTATAAGATATTATACATTTACTATGAATGATGAGTAATGTTACATTTAAATATACATATGATTGAATAGTACTAGTCATACCCAAGTAAGGGACTTCTCTAACAACTAAAATTAGAGTCCAGCTCCTTCAGTACAGACATGGACATCAGATGGCTTTAGGAAACCAACCAAAGCTATAGCGTTGCTTCTGAATATCTATTTTAATTGGACAGATTATTTTTAGACTATCGGTTAACAAATGGTTTTATATTTCTTGGTTTTTTATCTGGTTTTGCCATTTTTAACCCCCAATGAAATTGTGAGGAAAGTATTGCAATAACCTTTTTCTCTTGAATCCTGAGGCAAGGCTTTCTTTTCTAGGCTTTGCATAGCTCAAGATAACATCACCCAGTTTATTAATCGAGCAACTTAGTGGCCAACTGTTCCTCCCACATTAGGTGGGCAATAATTTTTATGGGGGTTGGCCACACCAAGACTTTTCTATGGAGGGGTTATGGGGTCTCGGACGGAGGTTGGGTGCAGAAGAGAGCCCAGGGTAGGGGTTTGGGGTGCAAGAGAGGGAGTGGGGTCTGAGAGCGAGTTTGGGTGAAGGAGAGGACTGGAGTTCAAGGTCTGGTAGGAGGTATGGATGTATGAGAGGATTCTGGCCTGGAAGAAGGATGTAAGAAGAAGTGGAAGGTCTGAGTGGGAGTTGTGACATGGGGTAGGGGAGGAGGGTACAGAGGGTTTGGTTGCGACCTGGGCCAAGAGATTGGGGTAGGGTCAGGATATGGATGCAGGAGAAAGATTTTGGCCTGGAGAGGGGGCATAAGTGGGGGTGCAGAATCTGGGTGGGAATTGGGGAGAGGGAAAGGCTGCTGTGCCAGAGGCAGGCTGTGGCTGGGAGATGCTAACCTAAGCAGCTCTGGCGAGCACAGTATCGGATAAGACTTCCTCCCCCACAGCAGCCCCAGGCTGCTGGTTGACTGTGCACGTGGCTCTCTGTGCTGCAGGGAGAGGCTTTGTGTGCTTTTGAATTGAGGGTGAGGTCAGGTCGATGGGGTTATACATATAGAGCACCATACCAGCGCCACTCCAGGGGGCTCCACAGCTGTCCTGATGGGTAATAATTAGGTAAAAATCTTGTGATAGCCGTGCACGTGGCGCATGTACAGGCAGTCCCCGACTTACGCGGATCCGACTTATGTTGGATCCGCACTTACGAACGGGGCTCTCTCGCCCCGGAGCGCGCAGGTAGCAATCCGCCACCTCGACCTCCGGGGCGAGAAAGCCCCGTTCGTAAGCTGCTCCGGTGCCCCTGGTCTGCTGGAGACGGTCTCCAGCAGACCAGGGGCACTGGGCAGGTTCCCGCGCTTCTGAGGCTTTGCTCTGAGGCAAAGCCTCAGAAGCGCGGGAACCTGCCCAGTGCCCCTGGTCTGCTGGAGACGGTCTCCAGCAGACCAGGGGCACTGGGCAGGTTCCCGCGCTTCTGAGGCTTTGCTCTGAGGCAAAGCCTCAGAAGCGCGGGAACCTGCCCAGTGCCCCTGGTCTGCTGGAGACGGTCTCCAGCAGACCAGGGGCACTGGGCAGGTTCCCGCGCTTCTGAGGCTTTGCTCTGAGGCAAAGCCTCAGAAGCGCGGGAACCTGCCCAGTGCCCCTGGTCTGCTGGAGACGGTCTCCAGCAGACCAGGGGCACTGGGCAGGTTCCCGCGCTTCTGAGGCTTTGCTCTGAGGCAAAGCCTCAGAAGCGCGGGAACCTGCCCAGTGCCCCTGGTCTGCTGGAGACGGTCTCCAGCAGACCAGGGGCACTGGGCAGGTTCCCGCGCTTCTGAGGCTTTGCTCTGAGGCAAAGCCTCAGAAGCGCGGGAACCTGCCCAGTGCCCCTGGTCTGCTGGAGACGGTCTCCAGCAGACCAGGGGCACTGGGCAGGTTCCCGCGCTTCTGAGGCTTTGCTCTGAGGCAAAGCCTCAGAAGCGCGGGAACCTGCCCAGTGCCCCTGGTCTGCTGGAGACGGTCTCCAGCAGACCAGGGGCACCGGAGCAGCTTACGAACGGGGCTCTCTCGCCCCGGAGCGCGCAGGTAGCAATCCGCCACCTCGACCTCCGGGGCGAGAAAGCCCCGTTCGTAAGTGCGGATCCAACATAAGTCGGATCCGCGTAAGTCGGGGACTGCCTGTACACACCTAACTGGAATTGAATGAGAAACCACTTGAAGGATTGATAAATTCTATAGCATACAGGACTTTTCTATCTCCTGTACTGTGTTCTAAATGCAGAGCATTTGTAACATCGTATTTGCTTTTAAAGTGTATAACAATTTAAGCAGCAGCAGCATTTATTTTTTGAAAGCTCAATTGATCTTTCCTGATACCATATAAAGATTGTTGTGATTTTATTCTGAGTGTTATATGATAGATAACTCTCCATTAAAACCCAGGACTGAGAGTAAGGTGGCATGTTCTATTCTGAAGCCAATGACAGCGGCAGGGATTCAGTGACTTTAAAAAACTCAAATTAATTGTGAAGTACCTAAATATGGATTAAGGCCCTTAAAAATACTGGACTAAATTTCTCCTTATCTCAGGTCTTCTCTAGTGTAAAATGGTTCTTAAATGTTATATAAGCATTAACTCTCTTTATTGGAAGACATGTCAGAGGGGTAGCTATGCTAGTCGGTAACTTAAAAAAAACTTTAAAAATGAGTTGTGTATATATAGTATCATGAGCTTTAGTGAGCACAATCTACTTCTTCAGATGAGTGGAGCAAAACACTCTTCACTTTTGTTCCACTCATCTGGAGAAATGGGTTGTGCCTATGAAAGCTCATTATACTATATATTTGGTTAATCTCTGTGGTGGAGTCAGAGAGTTGCAAGGTACTATTTTATTTTACTTTCATCTACTCAAACATTACTGTCTACGACACAATGCCAAATATAAAGTAGTATTTTTTTCCTGTTAAGTACTTTACAACCTGTATCATGGTCCAGCATCTTTAAAAAATAAATACAAATATCACAAATGATTCTTAATCTGTAAACTTTTGGAAAATGCCTTTAATTATGGCCACATCTCAGTGAAGTATTTCTTACCATTATTCAAAGACTTGAAATTTCCTATAAACCTTACATATTCATATGTAGGTGGTTCTTTTGGGTCTATTGTTCCTCGCAGCATATGGCAACAAAATTCTAGTTGATTTTTTGCTGAAACAATATAATGAAAAGGCGGTTTATGTGAGAAAGCATGCATCAGAGATTTTAGATAAAAGCAATAATAATTAGAATACATATTTCATAAAAGACAAAATAGGGGAGGTAATGTTTTTATTGGGCCAACCTCTGATAATAGAAGCTACAAACTTCTGAGATACACAGAGAGTGAAAAAAATTCAGTCTCTGAACTAAATACAAGTTGGGATAGATTGTTATTTAACAGCAAGCACTCAGATTAAAAGATTGTTAAACAAATTAACGTAATGATCCAGTGTTTGTTTCATCAATGGGGAGTGGAGGAGGGACCATTAATTTCTTTAATGAAAAAAATACAATGAAATTCTCAACAATTATTATAATCATCACAGACTTCCTACCACCAAAAGGACAGTGTGACCAAACCAGCAGACAAAGGGGAAGGAATAGTCATCATGTTTAATGATTACAGTGTCAATGAGGCCAGCTTACTATTTAACAGCAAGCAGCTTGTCTAAACAATAGGAACAGCCATTAGTACTAGCATGGCTCCCCAATATACCAATCTTCTCATGGGCCCATTCAAAGAAGAGTATCTGAAAAAAATGGATGACAAAACAAACAATATACCGGAGACACAGATATATCAATGATATTTTCATTCTCTGGTCAGAAGACCCAAACTCACCCATAATTTTCACCATGACGTCAACAAGGACTTCCCATCGATCAAACTAACTCTAAAGCACTTCCACACCAACATCAGCTTCTTGGACACCAGGGTCAGATTCAACAATGGAATCCTATTAACAGCTATCCACAAGAAACCCACCACATTTATCTCCAAAGATCTAGAAACAACTCTAGACTCACCAAAAAATGTGTTATTTACTGCTAGGTGCTCAGATACCACAGACCTTGCTCTAAAGAGAAAGGTGGCAATACCTACCTAAATACACTTAAAACTGCCTTCATTAAACAGCGACACACTATCAGATAAGTAAATCACATCAAAGAGTCATTCAAATCCCCCAAGAGAACCTGATTCAATACAACAAAAAAAACAACCGAACAAAAACATACCCAGTGACCACACACACTAGCTCTCACCTACCACACTCTCCCATGAGAATGAGAAGGGGGTACTATCCAGGCAATTACATTTCTAGTTGCTAGGGTCCAATATCCCGAACAAAATCTTTCTAGAACACTCACTTCTGACCTTCAAACAATCCCCCAATTTCATCAAACTCATCATCTGAAGCAAGCTCCACACAAACCTGGAGACACCACTTCAAACTGGCACCAGACTGCCAGAATAATGGATGCAGAACCTTGAAACATAGCACTTCTACAATGATCAACACCTCCCCACAATGTAATTTTCAAAATTCATGGAACAAACATGCTTATCACAAACATTAGGTACACCATGATCACACGTCTCAATAATAACTTTGTAGGTGAAACCAGATATCACTATGATCTCAATATGAACTCGCACAGAAAAAGGATATATATAAAAATACAATTATTACCTGTGTGCAAATACTTTTCACAAAGTATTCAGTCCCTATCTTATCTTCAACACTCATCCTCAACAGAAACCTGCATAGCACCTTCAAAACCGAGCCTGGGAAGTTAAATTCATAAATCTGCTAGAAACCAAAAACTAGTTGGCCTCCGTCGGTCAGTTGACCATGGAGGACGTATCCTAGTTCTCGTCTTGGTTCGTGTCGAATTGTCTGGGACAGCGTCGGGGACAGCGTCGTTGGTGGCTGAAAAGGCCAATCCGGGACAGGCATTCTTTGCCGCAGAAGTCGCAGCTATAGGTGGTTCCCTGGCTGTTGTTGTTGCGTAACTTCCTGCGGGCTCGCTTTTCTTCTGATGCACGCATCATGTTCGTTTCGCCTGACTTGAGCTGTGTGGTCAGGGTGCCCCTCCACTTTGGGCGGTCTGCTGCGAGGTCTTCCCAGGACTGCGTGTTTATGTCGATGGCTTTCATGTCCCTCTTCACGACATCTTTAAATCGCAGGTTCGGGCGCCCTGTGGTTCTCTTCCCAGATGCCAGTTCCCCGTAGAGGATGTCCTTTGGGATCCTCCCATCCTCCATGCGGCGTACATGGCCAAGCCAACGCAGGCGACGTTGTCGGAGCATGGTGTACATGCTGGGGAGGCCGGCTCGAGTCAGAACTTCGAAGTTGGAGACTTTGTCTTGCCAGGTAATACCCAGGATGCGGCGCAGACCTCGTAGATGGAAGGCGTTCAGTCTCCGCTCTTGTCTCGCGTATGTGGTCCATGTCTCGCTCCCGTACAGCAGGGTGCTGATGACGCAGGCGTTGTACACTGCCATCTTTGTTGCGGTTGTCAGCCTGGGGTTGGTCCACACTCGGGTTGTCAGGCGGGCTAAAGTAGAGGCTGCCTTCCCGATCCTCTTGTCGAGCTCAGCGTCAAGGGAGAGATTATCGGTGATGGTGGAGCCCAAGTACGTGAACTGGTGGACGACGTCAAGCTGGTAGTCGTCTACTGTGATGGCTGGTGGAGTGACAGTGTCCTGGCTTAGGACGTTTGTTTTTTTTCAAACTGATAGTCAGCCCAAAGTCTTTGCAGGCCATGGAAAAACGGCTCATCAGCGACTGTAGTTCTTCCTGGGTGTGTGTGACGACTGCTGCGTCGTCGGCAAATATCATGTCCCTGATCAGCGTCTCGCGTATCTTCGTCTTGGCTTTGAGGCGAGAGAGATTGAATAGCTTGCCGTCCGATCTGGTGCGGAGGTAGATTCCTTCCGTTGCTGAGCCGAAGGCATGCTTAAGGAGCAGGGCAAAGAAGATCCCAAACAATGTGGGGGCAAGAACGCAGCCTTGCTTGACGCCGCTGCTGATGCTGAAAGGCTCGGAGCAACTGCCGTTAAACTGCACTGTTCCCTTCATGTCTGTGTGGAAGGATTCAATCAAACTCTGCAGTTTTGGGGGGCAGCCGATCTTGTGAAGGATTTTGAAGAGTCCGTCTCTGCTGACCAGGTCAAAGGCTTTGGTGAGATCAATGAAGGAGACGTACAGGGGCATCTGCTGTTCTCTACACTTCTCCTGGAGTTGTCGTAGGGAGAAAATCATGTCTACGGTTGACCGTTCTGCGCGGAAACCACACTGTGACTCCGGGTAGACACGTTCAGCCAGCTTCTGCAGTCGGGTCAAGATGACCTTAGCAAATACTTTGCCTACGATGCTAAGAAGGGAGATGCCTCTGTAGTTGTTGCAATCACTTCTCTCGCCCTTATTCTTGTAGAGGGTGACGATCTTAGCATCCCGCATATCCTGCGGTACGGCTCCTTCTTTCCAGCACTGACAGAGCACTTTGTGAAGAGGGTGCAGTAGGGAACACTTGCACTGTTTCAGCAGGTCTGGAGGAATCCCGTCGCTGCCGGGGGCTTTTCTTGAGGCCAGTTTATCAACAGCCTTGCTGAGCTCTTCTACTGTTGGCTCTGCATCAAGTTCTTCCATTATTGGCAGGCATTCAATGGCATCTAATGCTGCGGAGGTCACCGTATTCCGTCTGGAGTAGAGGTCAGAGTAGTGTTCCACCCATCTCCCCAACTGTTGTTGCTTGTCGGAGATTATTTCTCCAGTAGATGACTTGAGGGGTGCTGTTTTGCTCTTGGTAGGGCCCAGCGCTTTCTTGATGCCGTCGTACATGCCTCTTGTGTTCCCTGATATGGCTGCTTTCTGGATGTCGTTGCTGAGCTGCTGCCAATATTCGTTCGCACAGTGTCTGGCAACCTGTTGAGCCTTGCTCCTAGTAGCCCTGAGAATTTGCAGGTTCCTCTGGCTTGGTGACCGCTTGTATTCTGCCAGGGCGGCGCGCTTGGCTTCTATGACTGGAATCATCACAGAGGACTTTGCTTCAAACCAGTCGTGCGTCTTTATGGTCCTCTTTCCAAAGGTTGCCAGGGCAGTGCAGTGCATTATGTTCCGCAGTGTTTCCCACTTTCCCATGGCAGAGTCTCCTGTCTGTGTGGCGTCAAGTTCCTTCTCAAGCGCTTCTGCGAATTTCTGCGTCAGGTCAGGCTGCGACATCTTGCTGACGTCGATGCGAGGATTTCCTTGTTTCCTTGAATCTTTTACCACAACTGAATTAAAAACAAAAAAAAGGATTGGCATGTTTTAGGTGTAATATTTAAAAGGAAGAGAATATAATACTCAATTCAGAACATAGTATTATGTGTTCTAGTAATCTGCATAATTGACGACTCCTTAGAAACAAGGAAATCATGCATAAACAATGAGGTCCTGTGGCACCTTATAGACTAGCCCATTTATTGGCGCATACTCTTTTGGGGGCAAAGACCCACTTCATCAGATCATGTGATTGGAGAGGCCTTCATAACTGTTGGGGGAAACAGCCTCTTGTATCCTTTTTATACCCTTTCCCATGCCCTTCCTTTGATGTGGGTGTGTTCTTTTTGTTTCTTTAGCTTGTAAATTTTTTAGGGAAAATATTATTTTCCTATATGTACAATATTTTGAAGACTTTAGATATTGTCACATGCATAAAAATTATTAGCTTAGAAAGTGTTAATGGCTCTCTGATTTATATTTTATCCATCATTTGACTGTTGACATCCTTTCTTACTCTCTTGATAGCATATTCAGTAGCCATTTCATATGCAAATGTATACCAAACTCGCTTAGTTTATGCTCATAACAAAAAGTTAGTCCATAAGGCTATGGTACCATCTAGCCTCTGTCTTCTCATCGTTTGGAAGTTTAACAGGGCATGTATGATAGAAATATTTGGGAGGAAATGTGATATGTATGAGGCCACTTTTCTAGTTAAAATATGTTTATTAGCACTAATACAGTTTCATCTATATTTTGAAAAATGTCAACTCTTAGCTGTTGAAAAACAGGAAAAAGTAGTGAGAAAATTACTTCAAGAAATTTCAAAGTTTTGAATACCCGTAATTCTCAAAATCCAGAAATCTGAGCAAATTGCAAGGAAGCAAGCAGACAAGGAGT